CTGCACTCCAGTCTGGGCGACAGAGCGAGATTCCAACTCAAAAAAAAAAAAAAAGAGTAGAAACTTGAAAGCCAAGTCATCTTTTGTTGTTTTTTGATCTTTGTCTTAGCTTTAAAAAGATATAAGCTGGGCACGGTGGTGCACACCTGTAATCCCAGCAATTGGGACGCAGAGATGAGAGGACTGCATGAGTCCAGGGGTTCAAGACCAGCCTGGGCGACTTGGCAAGACCTCGTCTCCACAATAAATCAAAAAATTAGTTAGGTGTGGTGGTGCGTGCCTATAGTTCCAGCTACTCAGAAGGCTGAGGCAGAAGGATCAACTGAGCCCAGCAGGTCGAGGCTGCAGTTGCTATAAGCGTGCCACTGTACTCCAGCCTGGGTAACAGAGTGAGACTCCTACTCAAACTAAATAAATAAATAAATAAAAAGATGTAAGAGCTTTATGCAGCTTAGAGGAGAGAGATAGTAGAAAGGAAGAATTAAAGCAGGGTTTCCTGACTTTTGCACTGTTATTTATTTATTTATTTTTTTGAGTTGGAGTCTCACTCTGTCGCCCAGACTGGAGTGCAGTGGCTGCTCCCGGCCACCACAACCTCGACCTGCTGAGCTTCGGTGATCCTTCCGCCTCAGCCTTCCAAGTAGCCGGAATTACAGGCATGCGCTACCACACCCGGTTGATTTTTTGATTTATTATAGAGATGAGGTCTCGCTGCCCAGGCGGGTCTCGAACCCGCGGGCTCAGGCAATCCACTCACCTCAGCCTCCCAAAGGCGCGGGATTACAGGCTGAGCCACCGAGCCCGGCTTTGGCACTGTTACTAGATTATTCTTAGCTGCGGAAGGCTGCTCGGTGTATCGTGACATGTTTAGCGACAACCCTGTCATCCACCCAGCCAGGCCTGTTGCACCCTGCTCTCCCAAATGTGACAACCAAAAATATTTCCAGCCATCACCAGTGTCACCTGGGAGTAAAACTGCCCCTGGTTGGGAACAACGAGATTATAGTAAGAGGAGATGGGCTATTGCCTTGCTAAGCTATGGTGTGCCCATGTGCTCTTTGAGCTATGGTCAGGTCATGTTTTCTTAAGCTTTGGCTCCCTCGCCTCCCTTGGGGAGGTGAATTTTCTTTCTTGCTCTCTAATTTACTTTTTTAATAAACTATATTTCTAATCTAAAAAAAAAAAGGTAAGAGGAGATGATGCTGAAAACAACTTTCCAGAGGACAGAACAGGACCACAAGTATAAACTAACATCTGTACAAAGTGGCAGTAACTTTGCTAATGATCAAACACAAAATGAATTACCTTTATGTCTGGATCTGACAATTGGTTCTTTAACAACTCAAAGTCATTTGTTTCACCCTTAACAAGAAAGGGAAAAAAAGTAAAGTTATGCTTGCTTTCATTTCCTGTTAAGTATCAACAGCAGGACTTTTAATTATACTTGAACATCTGATGAAATAATAAAAGGACTATCGCAACTTCCACATAACTGCAGATTCTAAAATCATGACTACAAAAATTTTAAAATTCATGCTTAGTGGAACCAGACTTGGAAAAAAAAGAAAATGACAAGTAATCAAAAAGTCATTCATATTTAGCTACACTCAAATGCTGACATTTGAATATGACAGTAGATACGCCTGAGAATTCTCAAAAAAGTATGATAGAAAAAAACAATATAGCCGGGCTCGGTGGCTCAGCCCGTAATCCCAGCACTTTGGGAGACTGAGGTGAGTGGATTGCCTGAGCCCACGGGTTTGCGACCCGCCTGGGCAACTTGGCAAGACCTTATCTGTACAATAAATCAAAAAATTAGCTGGGCATGGTAGCGCATGCTTGTAGTTCCAGCTACTTGGAAGGCTGAGGCAGAAGGATCGCCGGTGCCCAGCAGGTCGAAGCTGCAGTGGCCAGGAGCAGCCACTGCACTCCAGTCTGGGCGACAGAGTGAGACTCCAACTCAAGAAAAAAATAAAAGAAAAGAAAAAGAAAAAAGAAAAAAACAACATAATGATCTAATCCAGGGGGAACCAAAATAGAATTCATTCATAAATATGGATACAAATGGATAGTATATATATACAAACTGTCATTTACACTTTCCCTCTACTGCTGAGATTTTGTAGAAACACTTCTATACTAACAAACAAAAACCTCTATTAAGAGAACTGGTTTATTGTTCCAAAGTAATGCTTAAGTCATTCCTTAAAAAATAAAACGTTCTGGCCAGGCTCGGTGGCTCAGTCTGTAATCCCAGCACTTTCAGAGGCCAAGGCAAGTGAATTGCCTGAGCCCGCAGGTTCGAGACCAGACCGGGCAACTTGGCAAGACCTCGTCTCTACAATAGAATAAAAAATAGCCAGGCATGGTAGAGTACACCTATAGTTCTGGCTACTTGGAAGGCTGAGACAGGGATTGCCAGAGCCCAGCAGGTCAACACTGGGGTGGCCGTAAGCATGCGTGTCACTGCACTCCAGCCTGGGCGAAGGAGTGAGACTCCAGCTCAAAAAAAAGTTCTAATTTTAAAAGATATATATATTATATATATATATATTCTAATTCTAGTGCTTGCCAAAGTTTTGAAAAGACACAGCGTAAGTGCATCTGAAGAGGTTAAACCTCCACAAAGACGTCATTACTCTAATTTTGAGCTGACGTATCATGCTCAATATTGTTCAAATGTTATCTAAATCTCATTTTATTATGTCTACTGGTCTGTAAATAACAGTTACAGCTGTACTCTGACCCAACAAAAACCAAACCTCACACATTATCTCCTCTTACCTTTTTGTACTTCAGCAAGACTTCTGTCACAGTTCCACCAAATCGAACAGTTTTTCTTGGGGGAGAATTTAAAAAATTATCCTCTAATGCAAGCATGTCTGAAATCCTGTATAACCAAGATAATCAAGCTATTAATAATAAAATCATTAAAAAATTATAATAGTCAACATTACTGAACCAACATCATTCAGTGAAACCACTGCTAAGCCCTCTTAATCTGTCTTGCTGCTTCCACTCTTGCCCCCAACAATCCATTCTTCACTCAGGAACCTAATGATCTTTCAACAACTGTCCTCTTGCTGCACTTAGAACAAAACTACACACTTCTTACCGTTGTTTTCAAGGTTCTACTTTAATCTGGCCCCTGCCTACCTCTCTGACCACATCTTTAAGCACTTGTTTTACTGCAGCTATAGTGTCCTTTCTGCTCTTCAAATTAACTTGCTAAGCTGGTTCTCATTTCACTTACTCTTCACTCTATCAGAAACACCCTTTTCCCAGATCTACACATGGTTGGATTCTTGACTTCATTCAAGCCAAAGCTTAAATGTCAGATGCTTTTCCCATGAGAAAACTTAAGTATTCATCCTCTCTTCCAGTTCCCATTACTCTGTTGTTTTCCTTCACAGTACTTATCACTATCTGAAATCACCCTGTTCCATTTATTTATTGGCCTGACAGCCTTCCCTTCAAGACTATAAGTTCGGTTGAAAGCAGGGACGTTGGTCTTTTTGGATAAATCACTGTCCCCACTGTCTAACACAGTAAGCAGGCGCTCAATAAATACCATAAATCATATTATGCTGTTTTACAAGGTTTGATTAATTTAAACAGAGTAGGTTATTGGAAATAGATCGAATCCTACCAATGACTCTGAAAGTTAAATCCCAAAGTGTGATAATGAGGGCTTGGGGGCTTTAAAAGTGGAGCAAGATAAAGATTGTTAAATAAATGTGTGTCGGAACAATTTTCAAATAAAAAAATTAATATTCTATTTGCCATCAGTCACAGCGTTCGGCTGATAGTCCAAATACCCCAGGGAATCCCTTCCAGATCTAGAACAAGAAGTGACAAGGAGCAAGCAGAACGCAGCACCCGGGCCTGGGATACCATAAGGAAACACAGCGGGGGCGGGGGGGCGGACGGAGGGATCTAGAACAGAAACGGACTCGGGCTCCCAGGCCCCTCTCATCTCCGCAGCCCACTTCAGGGGACTGGGCTCACTCCAGCAAATCTAAGGTGACCGTTCGGCCCCTATTCCTGCAGCACACCCCATTAGCTTCGTCCCAGACTCTTTCAATCCGCTCTCCACCCGGGTCAGGGGCTTTAGTCCCGGACGAGCAGCAGGAAGCGGCGAGAATCTTACCCAGTCCTCGACGCGCCCAGCGCCTTGACCGCAGAGCTCGAAGCGGCCCCATCGCCCGGCAACCGCGTGTGAAGCAGCGGGGCAGCCATGGGGCCGAATTAAACTACTACGCGCCACGCGCCGGAAGTCGTGCTCCCGCCAGCCACCGCCCTCTGTCCCGGAAGTCGTGCATGCGAGCGGCGGCCTTCAGCCAATCAGAGCCCCCACATGGGGAGCGCGTGGTGCTCTCGGCGGGCTAGAGCGCCGCCAAAGCACCGGGTTCCTCCCTCTTCTTGGATGACTTGCTCGGCCCAGCGAGGTTGGGCTTGCTAGTATGAAGACGGAGATGAGAAGGACCGAGATGAGAAGGACCGGTTCTTTCCAGCTACGAGGATCCCAAAGAAAGGGTGGGAACACCCAGGAGGTGCTAAGCGGCGGGTGGTTCCCCAGAGTATTAACTTTTGGAGTCAACGCTTCCTTCAGGCACACTGAAGAAACGGAACCTCAACGATTTGTAATTAATCCAAATCCTCAACAGAAGAAAGGGGATTCGAACATGCTCCGTGACCCAGGAGCCTGGGTTCTGTGCCCGCTGCACTGTCCTCACAGACACAAGATCATCATAACCGCATGGAAGCATGCTTCACGATGCAGCCTGCCCCAAAGCCTCAAGGCTGGGATGAGAAATCACAGCTGGAATGAGAAACCAGAGGAGACAGTTTCCAAGAGGCGGGAGCCCTTGAACTTAAAATTTTTTATTCTTTTTTTTTAATCAATATTTTTTATTATGATTTTGTGGGGTACAGTTAAGGGTTAGGTGTACAATTACGTTTCATTCAGGCACCCTGTTGATAAGAGTTGTTTCCCCATCCCCAGACAGATATTGAACTTAAAATTTTTAATGGGAGGCCGGGCGCAGTGGCTCACGCTTGTAATCCTAGCACTTTGGAAGGCCAAGGTGAGAAGATTGCCCGAGCCCATGGATTCAAGACCAGCCTGGGCTACTTGGCAACACCTCATCTCTACAATAAATCAAAAAATTGGCCAGGCCTGGTGGAGTGTGCCTATAGTTCCAGCTACTTAGAAGGCTGAGGCAGAAAGATCGCCTGAACCCAGCAGGTCGACACAGTGAGACTCCGACTAAAAAAAAAAAATTATTTTTAAGGGGAAACAGGTCAGCCAGACCAACCAAGCGGCGAGGTGAGTCTTCAGGCATAGGGAACTGCAGAGCACAGGGGCTGCGGGGGATGCAGAGGGAGAGGAGGGACTGCCCCTTCCTTCAGTTTCTAAGAGAGGAGAAAGTTGTAATTTTGGAAAACTGTAGAGACTTATAAAAAAAAAATATATATATATATAAAACCAAGCCCAGCATGGTGGTGCATGCCTGTAGCATGGCAGAGGCCAGAGGCTGAGGCCAGAGGATTGTTTGAGCCCAGGAGTTTGAGGCTGTGGTGAGCCATGATCGTGTGCCACTGCACTCCAGCCTGGGTGACAGCAAGACCCTTTCTTTCAAAAAATAAATAGGCTGGGTGCAGTGGCTCATGTCTGTAATCCCAGCACTTTGGGAGGCTGAGGCAGGAGGGTTGCTTGAGCCCAGGAGTTTGAGACCAGCCTAGGCAACATAGCAAGACAAAAAATAAAAAAAGTTAGCCAGGTGTGGTGATGCACACCTGTAGTTCTAACTACTTAGTAGGCTGAGGCAGAGGTATCGCCTGAAGCCAGGATGTCGAGGCTGCTGTGAGACGTGATCATGCCACTGCATTCTGGTCTGGGCCACGGTGTAGGACCCCAACTCAAAAAAAATACATACATACATACATACATAAAACCAACTATCGCAAATTGTTAAACATATAATTCTGTTTTGCAACTGTGTAAAATCAATAATTGTCTTTCTGCTGTTCCTACTTGGTCCTCACTGCAGTAGAGTTCCTGTGGAATGTTGGGCAGGAATCGTCAATGTCCCAAGAACAGAGGAAATAATTGCACCCAAGCTCACAAGGATGTTTTAGGACAGCTGTTTGAGTGCAAAGCAAAAAAAACAAAAAGCTGGTCATGGTAGTATGCACCTGTAGTCCAAATTACTCCAGAGGCTGAGGCAGGAGGATCACCTGAGCCCAGAATGTTGAGGCTGAGGCTATGATGAGCTGTGATTGTGCCACTGCACTCCAGGCTGGGTGACAGAGTGAGACTCTGCCTCCAAAAAAATGTTTAATGTACAAAAGACTGTTAATTTAAGTTATAGAACATAATAAAATTGACACTGTGAATGTCTCACCCAATTGAAGAAAGAGACCCGTAACCTGTACTGTTGAAGCTTCCTGTATGTTCCTCCCAGATCCCACCTTCTCTTTGGTTTCCTCCCAAAAGTAACCACTGCCTTGATTTTTGAAAAATAATAAATTTGAAGCCAGGCATAGTGGCTCATGCCTGTAATCCCAACACTTTGGGAGGCAGAAGTGAGAGGATTGCCTGAACCCACGGGTTAAAGACCAGCCTGGGCAACATGGTGAGACCTCATCTCTACAATAAATCAAAAATTAGCTGAATGTGGTGGTGCACGCCTGTAGTTCCAGCTACTTGGAAGGATGAGATGGAAGAATCACCTGAGCCCAGCAGGTCGAGGTTGCAGTGGCTGTGAGCAGCATGCCACTGCACTCCAGCCTGGGCGACAGAGTGAGACTGACTCAAAAAAAAAAATTGACTTTTTTAATATGTTACCATATAAGTATGTATATTCCCAAACAATGTACTACTTACTTTTGCTTACCTTTTAATTTTACAAAATTATTTTCATGCTGAATCATATTGTTGCTTGTTTTCAATCACTATGTTTCTAAAATCCATCCATGTTGTATGCAGTTGTGGTTTATTTTCTCTGCCATATGTCATTCCATCACATGAATATGCCATGACTTATCCATTTTCTTTTTTATTTTTTTTTGAGTTGGAGTTTCACTCTGTCATCCAGGCTGGAGTGCAGTGGTATACTCCTGGCCACCAAAGCCTCGACCTGCTGGGCTCAGGTGATCCTTTCACTTCACCCTTCCAAGTAGCTGGAACTATAGGCGTGCACCACCACACTCAGCTAAGAGTGGAGGTCTCGCCAAGTTGCCCTGGTGGGTCTCGAACCTGCGAGCTCCCAAAGTGCTGGGATTACAGGCTGAGCCACTGAGCCTGACCTAATTTCTTGATTAATTGTTGAGACAAGGTCTTACCATGTTGCCCAGGCTGGTCTCAAACCCACAGGCTCCAGCAATCCTCTCACCCTGGCCTCTCAAATTGCTGGGATTATAGGCTTGAGCCACCGTGCCCGGCCTCTCCATTTTCTTATTGAAGACATCTAGATTGTTTTCTTTGTTTTCTCCACCCCGATTATGTAAATTGCTGTTATGAATATTCTGGTATAGTGTTCTGATGCATGTGTGAAGCATATTTTTAGGGTAGAATTGTTGTCATGTAGGGCATTACAAGGGACAGCCAAAATGCTTTCCAAAGTGGCTGTGGTAACATATAGTCCTAGCCAGTTGTCCCCAACCTTTTTGTCATCAGGGACTGGTTTCATAGAAGAACAATTTTTTCACATGGGGGTGGAGGGGATCATTAGGCATTAGATTCCCAAAGGAGTGCACAACCTAGATCCCTCGCATGTGCAGTTTACAATAGGGTTCCTGCTCCTATGAGAATCTGGTACCATGGCTGATCTGACAGCAGATGGAGCACTTTTCACTCCTTGGCCGCCACTCACCTGCTGCCACAAACCAGTACTGGTCCACAGCCTGGGGGTTGGGGAACCCTGGTCTCAGCAATATCTTCTTAAGTGTAGCTCCTTATTCTCCCAAAGCACAGCTAAGCCTTGGCTGCCATGTTAAGAAAATGTTAGACTGGGCTAGGTGCCTCAGCCTGTAATCTCAGCATTTTGGGAGGCCAAGGCAAGTGGATTGCCTGAGTCCATGGGTTTGAGACCAGCCCAGAAAACCTGGTGAAACCTCATCTCTACAATAAATCAAAAAATTAGTCGGGCATGGTAGCACACACCTGTAGTTCCAGCTACTTGGAAGGCTGAGGCAGAAGGATCACCAGATCCCTAGCAGGTTGACGCCAGAATGGCCATGAGTGTGCCACGGCACTCCAGCCTGGGCGACAGAGTGAGACTCCAACACAAAAAAGAAAAGAAAGGGAAATTTTAGCTAGGTGCGGTGCCTCATGTTTGTATTCCCAGCTCTTTGGGATGCAGAGGCGAGAAGATTGCTTGAGCCCAGCAGGTTAAGGCTGTGGTGGCTATGATCGTGCCACTGCACTCCAGCTGGGCTTCAGAGTGAGATTTCCACTCAAAAAAAATTTTTTTTATTTTAAATGAGCATAAGACAGGAAAAAAAACTTAAACATAATTCACTGTTGGAGTTCTTTGAGGAACCTTTACTCAAAATCTCTAATTGTCCTATGGACCAACTCATCTTGCCAATAAGAGCCTCCCTGATTCAGTCTTGCAATCCCCAGAGTTCCTTATTCTCTTATCTCCAGCCCTAAACAAAGAAAATAAAGACCCACTCTTCCAAAAACAAAAACTAAAATCAAGCAAGCACTAACATGCTCCCTGCAGAGGCAGTCTGCAATGTAGCCCTCCTGTCACATCACTGTGAGTAACATTGTTCATCATTGTTCTGAGCTGCTTCATTCTAGAAGGAATTCTTGCTTTGCTTTCATATATCCTGAAGAGCCATTAAACTGTTTTTTTCAAAAGAGCAGTCATTCCCTAGAGATACATTTTACAACTCCACCTGGAGTAGTTCTGTTGGGTCAAGCCTCTTAGCTTGCTAGTAACAGAAACTAACTCAAGCCAGTGTAAGCAGAAAATTAGAATCTATTCTAAGAATTTATTCTAACTGAACCCAGGTTCAGCTGTTTGCCGCCCAAAGATCAAACTCAAGAGACCAGAGTTGGTGGAAGGAAAAGCAGGTTTTGTTCAAGAGCAGGCGACTTGAGAAGATGGTAGACTAAAGTCACAAAGACCATCTCAAACTCCTCAGGCTGATCAGAGGGGTTTTATTTGTTTGTCTGAGTTGAAGTCTCACTCTTACCACCCAGGCTGGAGTGCAGTGGCATACTCAAGGCCACCGCAGCCTTGACCTGCTGGGCTTAGGCGATCCTTCTGCCTCAGCCTTCCAAGTAACTGGAACTACAGACACACGCCACCATGCCCGGCTAGTTTTTGTGATTTACTGT